TTGACCATACAAATTTACTTTGTTGGTATAGCTTACTCAATAATTTTATGTCTTTTTCAGAACTTTTTTGTAGATAAAAAATCTATATGTTTATAGGTATATCATGACAACATTTTTGATAGATAAATTCTCTAAAAATTTTATAGGCAAAATGGCTACGCCATGTCAGGTAGATTATTTTAGAACATCCTTGGTAGTGAAACCACACTGTCATGATACAATAGCATTATTTATAGATTTATCATATGCTTCAACAAATAATTATTGAGGTCACATAAGAGTTCTCTACCTTAACTTTAGTTAAAATGTATCAGGGACTTTGGGCAAAACCCTAAATGAACTTCACACATCAATTTAAAACAATCACTATTTCTAAAATAGTAATTCTGATAACTGAAGTGGATCCCCCATGTGCTGAGCGCCGATTTTCAGTTGTCGGTTTGCTTGTTGCTTGGATATAGATACTTACATTCCAAAATAGTGTGGCTTGTCTCACCGTCCTGCTCCATGTGATGAACAGCAAAATACTTCAACCCTTCTCCGACAGTCGGATTTCATGCAAAGCAAGAACAAATGGCCCTCCCTTTGTTCATTGTTTGAAAGGGCTTTTAGTTATTAATACTCTGTCACTATTTAACATAACCTGCTCCAGCAATTTAAAGCTTGTGAATCTCGGTTAGTTATACCTCTTAAGAGAGCTATTTAGGAACACTCTAGACATTTTTGTTAAGCCTCATTTTTAGAATAGAGGGCCTAATGGTATTTTAATGTCTGTATATTCCCAGAACAAAGCTTGAGAAAAATGCCTGTTACCTTTTGAAATTTATCAAAAGGGTAGGATTATCAGTGCTCCTCTGAGAAACATCATTAAATAATTAATTTTGATTTGTGGAATATTTGTGGTGAAAGGATCACAGAAAATGGTGCAAACTCCAGCTCTTTCAATGCTCTCACTTTCCAAAGAGGGAAACTGAGTCTTGGCGTGAGTGATCTACTGGCTGCAGGTCAGACAGTGGAGCAGTAGCTTTGTGAAGGTGATAGCATGGTAAATTTTAAAAAATGACCTGATAAGAGTGAGGGACAAGTCAGTTCTGAAGTCAACATTTAACTTCAGAACATGAAAATAATCTGCTGTACCCCTGCTAAAACTTCATTGCTGCTGCCCTGGAAGATTGTGAAAAAAGATATGGAATGATTAAAAAAATAGATAGCTGTAGAAGTGAGGAAATATCCAGGAATCATTTGTGAGAGTCTGGCTCTCAAAGTGGTAATCAGCTTGATATCCATCTCCCTAGGCTTCAGAAAAATGCTAGATAAAGTTTTTCAATTCTAAATGGTACCCGAAATTTCACCAGTTAGAGATTTCCTTACTGTAGTGAGCAGTCTTCCTTTAATAAGGATAAACATCTCTCGAAAGAATAAGTGTCCCTTTATTATGTATTGCTCTGTGTTTCTGCTCCAATCTTTTCTTACTTGCAAGTTTCAATGAGATTAGCTATAATTGGGAGCACAGTTTTGATTGATTGTAGAAAGGGAAGAATATGGTTTGAGTGGTCTGGTACAGGTGGTCATCTGGGTGGGATGTTCAGCATTGCCTGGATGGTATTAGGATACCAGAACCCTGAGCCAGGGCAAAAATGTAAAGGAAACATGCCAAGGAAAATCCTGGAGTGTTTATAACTTTATTGTAGGCTGTCTCATGGCTACAAAAGAAGTTAAGACTATTCTACTTTCTTGTCTAGGAGTAAGACAGCTTTGTTTTCCCCAGCCCCTTTGGTAAGCAATAACGAGCCAGTTTTTTTGCAGAATAAAGTGCAGTCTGAACCCGCATGCATATGTTTATGCAGTGGGGAAGTGCATGTCATTCTGAAACACTGATCCATTAAGATTTACCTGTAGGACAGCAGTTCATTGGATGCGTCCTTGAGTCAGTCTGCCTGGGTCCTAATCCTGGCTCTGCTACTCATTGCCTCAGTGAACTTGGACAAGCACCTCCTTTTTCCTGTGCTTCAGCTCTCTTATTTGTGTACTAGGTATAATAGTGATAGTAATTCTCACAAGGGGCTGTTGTGAAATAGAAATGAATTAACGCCCATGAAACACTTAGCGCCGTGCCTAGCAAAATGTAAGTAGTTGCCTCCTAATGTCTGTTCTCCACACTCCTTAACTCTGCGCTCTGATTTTATTCAAGAAAATACAGTCTAGCTTCTCTGGAAGAAGATTTAGGTTAGCAAACGTTTTACAACAATGTTATATGAGTGATGTTTTCTTAATTCTCTAAATATCTAATATATTTCCCTAATTGCAATCAGATGTCTTTTTTTTAATGCCAAGATACTTGCCTGTTTCAGTACATATTTTTGTACTAAAAGTAATTCTTTCACATGCAAAACTTCTCTGTATATATTTTCACTGTCAAATTTAGTGACATACTAATTTATATAGATAATTAGGTGAATATTAGGGTTTAAAAATATTGTTTCCATGTGATTTCCTAGAATGATAATAAAAAACACTTTTTTATTAGAATGTGATTATTGAGTACTCCTTTTTCACATTTTTGTTTATAATAAAATCTCCCTTGGCCCAAGATTCTGTTATTGACCATCTCAGTTCCTTTTATGTCATTGACTGGCATATCCCATTCTGTTGCTACAATCTGTAGAACTATGATAAGGTCTTGTACATAAGCTCCTTTGATCAGGGAGCATTTAAAACCCAAGCCTCAGCCCTTTATAGGAAAGATGATGTGGGGCAGTAAACAGACGATGGGCTGAAAGAGCAAACTCCTGATTCTGCTTCTGCTTCTGCCACTGGGAAGCTTCCACTGGGAGCTGTGTGACCTCCAGTTCATCCCAGAATCTCCTAGGGCCTGTTCTTGTCAAATAAAGGATTTGAATGAGGTTGTTTAGAGTTTCTCACATATGCAGCATTATATGATGCTGTGATACCTGCTAGAGCCTTCACATGTGAAGTGTGTGCTTTGACTTGACTGATGTATATATTTTCTTTCCCAGTTTCCTTAACATTACTTGAAATGCCTTTGGCAGATGCCCAGCAACGTGAAAGGTGCTGCTATAGCTGTAAGGTAGAAAAAGCCACCTGGATCCATGGCCTGGCCCTGCCAGTGCTCAAGTTTCCTTCCATAGAGCTGTGGATCTGGGAAGGTTTGAGTCCATGTTAGGTGAAAAGAGTTTAAGTTCCAGGGGCATCATGACTTTTACCATTAATACAGAATTGTTTTCATCTTTCCACTTTGCAGAAGATGGAATGGAAATCTGAAAAGACAAATAACTGCACAGGTCTTCCTAGTTGCCACTTGTCTGTACGGCATTTCTTTCTAGGGAGGCTCAGGAAGGTTAAGGAACAACTTTGTCTCTCTCAGATATACTTTGAATTTCAAAGGGAAAATAATAAAGGAGAGTGACCTATTTTTTGACCTACTTCTGCCTTTGCAATTTGGGGGCCTTCATTTCCATGTTAACTTTCTCTTCTTGGTATTGAATAAAGCTCTTTTTTCATTGACCAGTGTATATTTTTTTTTAAATTTTAAAGAGTAAAGGAAGGATAACATAATAATAGGGGGGACTTAGCAAATTACAGACAAAGTGGTAGGAAATTATCAATGGTTATTGTTTTACATATTGTTATCTACAAAATAGTTTCTCAGGAAAACAAATAGACAAATAATAGTGAGTTAGAGACAAAAGAGGTAGGAGATTATCAAGAGTTGTTGTACTATACTTTGGTATCTTCAAAGTGGCTTCTAAAGAAAATAAATAGAGCTATACATGAGTGACCTATTGAAAAATCATTAACTATTCTCAATGGTTGTTGTAGGAAACACATAATAATAAACATACATCCATTTATGAAATAGGATAGGAACATTACAAACTTTACACAGTTATGGATAGATTAGTAGGAAAATATCAATGGCTGCTGTAATACATGGTATCTTCAAAGTGGTTTCTCAGGAAGACAGAGATATGCAAGAAGGATCTAACAAGTAGTTACAGCCTAAGGGTTGTCAAAAATAGCATATTACCTCCTCACCAGTGACTCCTTTCACTGAGGTATGATGGCTGGAAGGAAGGCCAGGATTGAAAAGAAGGACCGAGAGACTTGCACCTGTGTCTAGCAACAGGCTGTTTTCTTGTTCCTCCATAGTCATGATTACCCAGGACTCCTCAATGGAGATGACGGTCTGGCCAGAGGGAGAAGGCAGACCATGCCCCAAGTCCTCTCATTTCTGTTGGACTAACTGGTAGCATGGGTCTGACCTCTGGGGCCTCCACTTTAGAGGGCAGATCGATCTCCAGTTGACCAGTGTATTTTGGCATAGGACATTTTAATACAATCATCTGAGATAAATGCTTCTAGAAGAGATAACTGCAAACTATATTATGGCTAGCTTATTGCCTCTAGATTCTAGGGCAGTGGAGATGAACCTAAGCATGTGTGTCATTTTTTTTTCTTCTAAGACAAAAGATGTTAATGTATGAGTTGTTTTTTCTAAACTGAAACTTTAGTATTCAGTATTATTTGTAGTGTTGGCACTTTGCAACAAATATGTGGGTTTTGTGTTGCAGTTTGGGCACTTATCTCTAAAAAATTTGCCATCACTGTTGTAGGTAGTTGGGTAGCTGAAATTATTGTCAGAATACTGAAAGTCAAAATATAATTGCTGTAGGAATTATAAATTAAGATAATATTATGCCATTGGTGGTCAATTTTATTTATCTATTTATTTGTTTGTTTGTTTATTTATTTATTTATTTAGAGATAGAGTCTTGCTTTGTAGTCCAGGCTGGCCTTGAACTCACTATGTAGCCCAGGCTGGACTTGAATTTGTTCAGATCCTCCTGCCTCAGCCTTCCAAGTGCTGGGACTACAGACATGTGCCACAACACCAGGCTGGTGGCCAACTTTGATATCATTATTATTTTGAGAACTATATTCTACAAACCTTGATTTTTCACCTTTTTCTTTTCTTATAGGCATGGCCTCCAGCCCTGTAGATCTTTCTGTGAGGCTGCAAAAGAAGGCTGTGAATCTGTCCTGGAGATGGTGAACGCCTCCTGGCCCAGTTTCCTAAAATGCTCCCAGTTTAGAAACCAATCTGAAAGCAGAAATGTCAGCAGAATTTGCTTCTCACCACAGCAGGAAAATGGACAGCAATGTAGGTATCTGTGTTCCATTTCCTTTTGAAGTTTTTCTTTGGGTAACTATTCATAAAGGGATGTACGCAAATAAGCACACAGCCCAGTAAGTTTTAATAGGGTGACCAGACCCCAGATCAAGAAATAGGTTATTAACAACACCCTAGAAATGCCCTCCGCCACCTTCCAGTCTTACCTCACCCTCTGTAAAGAAATCTTTTTTTATTTTTTTTTATGTTTTTAAATGTCTTTTAAGAATGAAAGAAGTAAAATATATTAACAAACAGACATCCATTTACAAAACAGTGTAAGAACAATACACACAATACAGAGCTACAGACAAAGTGGTAGGACATTAACAATGGTTGTTGTGTTACATATTGACATTTTCAAAGTGGTTTCTCAGGAAAACAAATACAGACATGTGAGATTGATCAAATAAGTAATCATTAACTGTTCCTTTCAGTAAAGTGATAGAAGTCAGTAGTACAACTATGTTAGCTATCCTGCATACACGTACATACATAATTTCCCTTTCTTTCTTTTCTCTGTTCCCTCACCCCAGTTCTCTTTACTTTTAAGCATTTTCTTTTCATTTCACAATGTCTATAAAGAAATCTTGATCCTGACTTTTATCACCTTAGGTAGCTCTACTTCTTAGGTAGCACACTTCATATAAACAAAATCATACAGTAAGTAACCTTTTTGTATCTTGGCGCATTTGCTAAGCATTATGTTTGAGAAATTCATTAAGCTTTCATTTTGTGATTCATTCATTCTCATTGTAGTATTCTAATATGATTATACCTCATTATATTTCTCTATTTTGCTTTCGATAGACATTTAAGCTTTTCTAGTTTTCAGCTATTGTGAATAATGATGCTGTAACTACTCTTATACATGTCCTTTGCTGAATGTGGTTATTCATTTGTTCAGCAAAAATGTTCTCTAAAATAGTTGTGTCAATTTATGCTCCTAATAGTTACATATAAAAGTTATGCTTGTTTCAAATCTTTCCATATATAGAGGTTATACTTGTTACAGACCAAGAGTATTGTGATATCTCTTTGTGGTTTTAAATCGTGTTTTCTTGATAAAATTGATCACAGTTTCCAGTTTTTGGTTCCTTGAAAGTCCTTTTCTGTGACAATATCCTTGTCTGTACAGATATTTTGACCATTTCACCACGGTCTTTTTGCTGTTAATTGATAATTTTGTACGGAAATGTGTGTAGTTTGAATTTTCAAAGTCCCCAAAGGCACCCATGCTCAGGGCTGGGATGCTAGCATAGGAAGTGGAACTTTAGGCAATGGGACCTAGAGGAAGGAAGTGGAGAGCTGGACTTGGAAGAGGATCTTAGGACCCTGGTGCATCCCCTCCTGGCAGCAGTAAGTTGAGCATATTTTTCCATCAGTTGCTTCCACCATGATGTTCTGCCTTGCTACAGACCCAAAATGGTGGGGGTCTATCAATCATGGACTGAAACCTCTGCAACCATTAGGCAAAATAAATCTATCCTTTCTTTAAGTTGTTCATTTCAGATATTTGTTACAGTGATAAAAAGCTGACTAACACATATCGTACCCTTTGTATGACGGTCTTGTAAAGATCTGCCGCTGTATGGCTGGCTTCCTACCCTCTCATTTGCAGCTGTATGGAGTGGAAGGTCTTAACTCGGATGAGTCCACATTAGCAATCTTTTCTTTTGTGATTTGTGTGTGTGTGTTAAGAAATCTTTACTCACCCTCCAAACACAGAAGTTTTTTTTTTCTTATGTTTCTTTTAAGATTGCTATTGTTTTTGCAATCCATTTTCCATTTACTACAATTCTGGAATTAATTTTTGTGTGTAGGGAAAGGTAGGAATTAATCTTGTATGTGTATATTCAACTGACATACAACATATTTTTAAGAAGACAATCCTTTTCCTCTGCATAGTAATATCCCAGTTGTTATTAAACAAGTAATAGACTGTGTATATCTATTTCTGGACACTCTATTTGATAGGAGTAAGCCAATACTATGTTGAGTTATGATAACATTATAAGAAGTCTTTACATCGAGTAATATGTGCTTTCTTTGTTCTTAAGGATCATCTGGCCCCCTGTTTTATATTTAAATCTGAGATACATTAAATGTATAAATCAAGTTGGGAAAAATTTCCACACAACGTAGAATCTTCCAGTCATGAAAATGGTAATATTTAACTGGGTGATTTATTTAATTTTAAAAATTACTATTATTATCATTGTTATAATTACTTGTGATACTGGGGCTTAAACCCAAAGCCTTTGCACTGAGCTACAACCCCAGGCATTTTAAATCTTTTTAGTTGTTATTTTGAGACTATCTCACTAAGTCAATAAATTGCTTAGGGTGGGCTTAAACTTGAGATTCTCCTGCCACAGCCTCCCAGATTGGTGAGATTACAGTCATGTACCACCATGCCTGGCTTGAGTATTTTAAATGAGGTACTTTTAAATTTCTCAATAATGTGCTATAGGCTTCACCATAGAAATCTTGCACATCTTACATTTCTTTTCAGCCTATGGAAGTTGTGATGTTATTTTAAGCTGTATTTTTAAATTGTTTTCTTACTGTTTCTTTTCTTTCTGTATCTCAGAACTTTGCTAAATCACTCAATACATTTTATAGTTTGTCTAGATTTATTTGCAGTTTCTAAATATATAGACATATTATGTAAAAATAAGTTTGTTTCCTCCTTGCTAATCCTTATGTCTTCTGGTTCTTCTACATTTGAGAGAAAGCTTTCAATATGTCATTCTGACTTGTGATACTTGGTGAAAGGGTTTGTTTGGATACAATGGTCAGCTTAACAAAATCATTTGTTGTTTGTAATTTTTTATAGGGGATTTTAAATTTTATCTAATGCTTTTTGAATATCTGTTAAGATGATGTATGCTTTTCTTCATATTATTTAACATTTCTTTATTTGCTTTTTTTTCCCCTCTTTTTCGTTTTTGAGGCAGGGTTTCACTGTGTAATTTACACTGGCCCTTAGCTCAGTATGTCGGTGAAGCTGGCCTGAAGCAGTGATCCTCCTGCCGCAGGCTTCTGATGCTGGGGTTACAGGTGTGCACCACCACGCCCACTTGAATGTTTTAAATTAATGATTAAAAATTTTTGTCTAATGAGTGAAATGTCTGGGCTTCCTCAGGAATAGTTTTTATTGTTTGTTTTTTCCCCTTTGTATATGAACTATATATTTCAGATGTTTTGTGCATCCTGAAGTTTTTTTTGTTGAAAGTTGCACATTTTAATAATTCAACATAAAAAGCTGCAAATTGGATTCTCGCCTTCTTTGGCATTTATTGTTATTGCTGTTTCTTAGCCCTTTTGTTGTTGCTATGTTTTGTTTAGTGATTTGCCTGAACTAATTAAGTTTGTTCTTTGTTGTGCCTGGCCATTGAAGGGTTTGCCAAAATAGTAATTTAGTGGCCAACTAATTATTGGACATAGACTTACTTATGTGCCTCAAACCAATAAATATCCACTAACTTTTCCAATTAACTCTTTGTGTATGCTGGAGAGCATTTTCAATACTGCCGCGGGAAGTTTATATCTCTGCCTCTTCAATTTGAGCTTGCGTGAAGTCTCAGTGTAAGCCCTAGGGACGCTATTTCATAGGCATGCATAGTCCTATACATTCATGTGGCCTTCTAGATTTCCAGGAACTATCCTAGAGCTTTACAAACCCCCATGGGTACCTAATTCCCCATTTTTCTTTTAACTGCTTTTTTTTTTCTTGTTATGATTTAGCGTCTTGTTTGTACTAAGTGGTCTCCCAACCTCCGAGAGTTGCAGTATTAACAGTTGTCACTGCTTTTCTCCTCCTGATGCTTCTCCTTCCCTTCTTTCTTTCACTTTTTAAAAAATAAACCTTGCAGAAAAGGCTTCACAGAGTACGACCTGATTTAGATCAAATAAAGACATTTCCCCTAAGAAGGGTTTCCAGGAAGCAAACAGATGGGTCAAATAATGACAGCTCTCTGGTAACAGGATGTTCTGAAGAGCTCCAAACAGGTTCTGTCCTCTCCAAGTGGCTATGTGGCTGCTACTACAGGTGTGAGATGGTTGGGTTTAGACCAGTCCAGAACTAGGAAGGAGAGATGGGAGAAGGGCAAGGGAAGGTGTCACAAAGTCCAGTGTCCACACTAAGATTCTTGGGTTTTCATTGATGAATCTTCTTATATTATTGCGAGCCTTATTTACTTTCGTTTTTTTTTTTTTTTTTTTTTGGTTTTTCTCCGGTGGTGGGGCGAAGCAGTTCAGCTTCGCGCTGACCACCAAGCAGGCGTTAGCTCAGCGGCAAAAGCGCCTGCTTGGCAAGCGCAGTGAGATCCTGTCGGTTCCCGGTAAAAAAAAAAAAAAAAAAAAAAAAAATCACCAAATTT